GAAATATTTTCCCAATTAGATACCACATCAGGAAAGACAAGGCTATCAACACAAAAGTCAGCATAAATTGATTATTTATTTTCTGCAAACTGAAAAACAACATAGCCTGGCCAGTCACAGGTACAATAAAGGAAGCAATAAATTCAAACAATATAGAGGATACAAACAGTACAGTTTGACTAATAATGGGTGGAACAAAAAAAAAAGCAGCAATCCCACTCACCACAGGTGATAGAACAGAGCAGAAGAGAAAAGAAAGGAAGGAACCAACACCCCCCACAAAATCGTTTTGTGGGAAATGCTGGATTAGAGCATAGTTGGATGTTACCTTATCATTCAGAGATAGCCAGAGGGTCCTTCCTATGTAATAAGGAAACCCTGCCTAGTGTACCCACCGGCAGATAAACTTCCCCCCAGATATCTCCACAAGCTGGGCCTGCTTTAATCTTGTTCTCTTAACAAGCAGGACACCTGCTGCTGCTCACCCAATTGGCTTTCATCCACGATTGGCCAGGTCCTTGGTGAAAGCCCATAGAAATGTTCTGGTACTCATCTGGCTTTTTCCAAAACAGCTGATGGCTTTTCCTCACACAATTAGTTACTTCTCTCACAATGATCTCTGCAGAGAATCTAATTTCTCACAACATCTCTGCAGAGACAAGAATCATCACACATCTCTGCAGAGAAGGGAATTGTCCATATGCCAAACCCCAATTCTGAGCACTTCAGGAACTGATATTCCTGTTAAATGGTCCACAGTGTCTAGAACTTTTTACTGAATGATGGTAGTCACATTGCAGTTATATTTATGGTTTGGGTTTGTTTGGGTGGTTGGTTTGTTTGTTTGGTTTTTTTTGTTGTTTTGTTTTCAGTCACATTTTATGTATATATTTTGGAATACTTCTTTTCATGTGCATTCTTTTGCCCCTATCAAAATGGAACTTAGCCTGTCATTTTGTCATCCAGCCACTCAATAATAGGTGATTCTCCTGTTAGCTATTACAGGTTGTGCAGTGTGGTCAGTTTATATTGCCAGATTTTAAAGCTAGCTAGGAGAGAAATTGCAAGCAAGTGGAAGTGCAGCAAGCTGAAGTAGTGAATACAAATCGCTGTGTGTGTAAACATAAAGAGAACTGAAACAAGTACAAAATTCACTGTCTACTCTGAGGACTGTGTTAAAATTACATATGCCTTTTTCAGAAAAACTGTGTGACATTTAAATGACATTTCTTTGTCCTGCAGAAACCAAAGGAAAATACTAGAGTCATCTGTAAACGCTGCAAGACAATGCTGGGGGAAACAGCATCATCAGGTAGGGGATGTGCAAACCAGTCTAGACTGCACTGCATCAGCCACTGAGCACGGGAGGTTAAAAACTCTGGAGCAACATTGTTTATCAGAAGGGTGCAGGGCTGATTCCTGTGTGTTTGTCTCATTCTCTTCTGGAACAGATGAGGCTGTTGCTTCTGCTGCTAGACCTTGAAGGTGACCTATGACAGGGATTTTCCTCATCATTATTTCTGTGGTGTATTTGGCTCATTCCAAAGCTTTGGAAGACTCAGTGCATGATTCTAGTTTACTAGGAATCTCAGTAAAAAAGGAGACCTGAAAAGTTACAAATTGTTTATTTTGCTGTCAGTCTTATAGTATCATGGAAAAGTTAATTCAGAACATGATCAACACAGAGCTAGAAGCTAAAGATATGATTGCCTGGTTTCATGGAAAGGAAGCCTTGTCAAAGAAACAGGTTATCTGTCATCATCATCCAATGATGAGATGATGATATTATTGGTTTAAAAGCTGTAATTATGTTGAATCATCAGAGTTTACCTGAAGTAGTGTAACAATGAGTCTCTGGTGGTTTTTAAAATGCAATTATTAACAGGAGAGAAGCAATGTTAAGACTGTTACTAGCAAGGTTCATTCTTTCATTATCTGTCTGCTCCACTGCATCAGTCAGTCTGAGCCTGGCTAAGTTCAGAGCTCTGGAGAATAGGAAAACTTCTCAGAAAATGCAATGCCTGTTTAAGAGGTCATAAGGAGTTGCAAGACAGAAGGCCTTCTGTTACAGGAGGTTCGGATCGTCCTGTACAGAGATCTGAACAGTACAGGTTATAATAAAACCAAATTTAAGGTGAGCTGTTTGAAACCCGCAAAGCAGACTATGAATTTGGGAAAGCAATGATTGGAAGAGAGCTTTACTGATAGATCATTATGAATAATGAGTCACTTAATGTAAGCCTTCAGATGGATGTAGCAACCAGTAATTGATGTGATGGGTGGGTATGGAAAAAGGCAAATACTGTGTAGTTGTGCAGGGATTTGGTCTGGACTGTGTATGTGGCTGAAGTTAGATGGCATGTCCATTGGTTTGACCATGTTTCTTCAGTACTGTAGGAAATTTATGTAGAGTTCAAAGAATGGGCAAAAAACTAACCAGAGATAGTTTTATACCAGATGTGTGGTGTAAGTCTGCACAGAACCATCTCTGTGAGGAGAGTAGAGAGCAGACTTGACTGTCATCTTTCCCTGCTTCCTCATGAGCACGTTGAAGATATAGCTGTGGTGACTGTGAGTGGTGTAGCTGTGGAGACTGGATTTGGCTTTGAAATTCCACTGTCAGCTATTCCTTCCCCCAACTCTATCCCCACATACTCAGATAATTTTTTTTCCTGGGAAATCCCACCTTCTCTCCCTCTGCAAGCAAACTTCTCAATTCCCAATACTCTTGCAGCAGCAGCAGCAGTTCCTTACTCAGGGTGAGAGCTGGGGAGCTTGAGTGACTGGCTTCTTTTCCTCCTGTCTCTCAGGATCAGGCGCAGCATGGAGCAGGCTAAAATTAAAGTTAGAGGTAAAATACAGCTTCCTAACTGTGAGGGTGGTTAAAAAAATGTAGTATTTATCAGGAGAAGTGGTGGGATTACCAAGCCTTTGGAATCGTTTAAACAGATGAAGTATCATCCTGAAATGCTGGCTTTCATCCAGTTTTAGTGGCATGTGTGGATGGAGATCAGATGAGACAATCTCTTCTACCCTTAAAATTTATAGAACTGATGAATCTTTACTGTTGTTCTCAGGCTAAGGCTTCGTGGAATGAATTTATTACTCTGTATGCTTAACTTGTGCTGCTGGCCCTCATGTTAGGCTGCGTTTGTAGCACAGACCCAGAGCTTCAGTATGATCATCTTTAACCTGACTTCATTGATGGGAACTAAATTCTGTACTCAAACTCTTCCCTTTAGTGTTAAAGGCTGTCTGAGTGGAGCTTTTGGAGAACTGTTATCCTGAAACTCGGAGTGCATGCCGTGTTAGTGTTGAGTTAGTGTGATTTTTTGAAAGAAGTTCTATTCTGGTCTTTGAGCAAAGAAGAAAATTATTCCCCTGTGTGTGCCGTTATTAAAACTGTCTCTTGTGATTCACTGCAGCATTACTGAGCAGCATAAAATACTTATGTAAGCTGTGCTGATCTCAGTGCTTTAGGAAAGTTCCTTAAATTTATCTTTCAGATTTGGCTTGAGCTCTTGCTTGCTTTGTTTCATGATGATTGTTCTCAGTGTTAAACAAGGATCAATATGAATGACAAATTACTGATCATGTAATGAGCTCAGAGCAGTTTTCTTCTGGCAATGTATGTGTTCAGTTGTTGGTTGTTTCTCCTCCCACAAACCAAAGCAGAATTTCACCATCTGCTGCACCTCTTAATTGAGTGCTGAACAAAAGTTTGATTAGTATAGTCATAGTCTACTCTTAAGAATTTGGTTGTTCTGTTGTACTTGAAAAATGTTTTTGTCATTTTAGATACCATTAAATACTATGTCACTGAGGTAATTATTCGACCATCTGAAGGAAGTTTCCATCCTATGCCAAGGTAACAAATAAAAATAAAAAAAAACCCTGATAATTTTCTCAGGTTTATGTTTTAGAACAGATGCTAGAAATGCACAAACATTTTGAATAATTACATATAATAACAAAATGCTGTCAAATTTTATGTAGTCATCACAGAACTAAGCATTGTAAAATTAATGTACTCTTGAATTTACTTACAATTTTGTGTGCTTGTCTGTGTGTGTGTTTGTGTGTGACACAGGAGAGAGACTGTATATAATTTTTTGTAGTGTCTGGCTATTCAGGTGATAAGGCAAAATACAGTGCTTATTTATTTTGATCTGTTGAAGTTTACATGATATCTGGTGACTAATTGTGGAAGGTTACATTATGTGAAGCTGGGGTTGTTCAGCCTGGAGAAGAAGAGGCTCCATGGGGACCTTATAGCAACCTTCCAGTACCTGAGAGGGTCTACAGGAAAGCAGGGGAGGGACTATTCACAAGGGTTTGGAGTGACAGGACGAGGGGTAATGGCTTTGAGATAGAAAAGGGTAGAGTTAGGTTAGACATTAGGGAAAAGTTCTTCAATATGAAGGTGACAGATCCCTGGAATAGGTTGCCCAGAGAGGTGTTGGAGGCCCCATCCCTGAAGACATTCAAGGTCAGGCTTGATGAGTCTCTGAGTAGCTTGACCTAGTTGGAGATGTCCCTGCTTGTGGTGGGGGGGTTGGACTAGATGACCTTTGGAGGCCCCTTCCAACCCAAACATTATATGATTCTGTAAGTTAAATTAAGTAAAGCTTTAAATCTTTAATTAGAAGTGAGATTTTGGAATTTTCAAGTTTGAATTTAAGACTAAGGTGAAACAGGACTTGATACAGCTATCCTGTATCACTATGCGTTAGTCACAGTTCCTTTTTTTTTTGTGAATTATATTTTAAATTTATGCATCATTCTAAATTTTGTGTTCATATGTGTAAAATATAATAGGGAAAAGCTTTTATTCGGCATTTGACCTTTGGTGTTAGTCAAAATAAAGGATGTGGAGCAATTTAAAGTACTAATCTGTAAAAAAATTCCTGTTGCAGGAAAGAGAAAGTCCTCAGATTCTGAGGACTATTTTGAAAGATAAAGGAGCCCCCTCTCGCAATAAAAAGTGGTTGTGGGATGTAGTGGAATTGACAGTATGGAGATATTAATATAATTTTACTGCATTGATATGAGTGACTTTGCCCATGTAGTTATTATGAAAACATATAATATGTGGCTAATTCTTAAACAGGTCTCAATTCGTGCAGAGTGTGGTTGCTCAGTGTCTTGTGGAACTGTCCTCCACTAAGAGCACGTTTAGATTCACCATAAAAGGGGATAATGGAAAAACCTATATTCTGGTAAGGTGGTTTTTTTTGGCTTTTTTTTTTTTTAATCTTTATCTTGCTGAAAACCTATAAATCTAAGCTCCTATAATGTATTATTGATGTGTTTCATGTTTGTATGTTTAAATAAAATTAATAAATTCATACTCTTGAAGTAGTTCTGAAGAGTTCTGTTCAAATAAGAAATTTCCATCCTTTTTTAATCTAAGTAGTGTACATATAGACATTTTCTCTGTTAATATAGTGTTGAAACTACTACAGATGCATCACAAGTAGAACAGAATAACACTGTGGTTTGTATTCAGAAAATATGGAAAGCTTTAAGTTTTGACTTTATTATATATATATATATATCTCTATATATATATCTCACCTGTTTTGCTCTGGTGTTTCTTTTCTTTAAGCAACAGAAGCAGCCTCTTTCACAAATACTGTCTTTAGTCAGCAGAGTCTACTAATGTAGTCAGGTAGATTGCATTGCAAAGTGAAGTGCAAACAAAAATAAAATTGCCTATTATACTTAATGTTCTAATGTTGTTAAACTTGGTTAAGCTTGATATTTAAATAGTGACAGTTAAATTCCTCAAACTTCTAAAATGGATAGGAACCTGGGTTTGGAATTATCTGAACACTATACACTTGGTATAACCAGAGATATTTTATTTTATTAGTGAACTAAATATAGGCACCAAGTTTGTAATTTTTCAGTTTGTATGAGTAAGTCACAGACACAAAGATAAAGAAATAGATGATCATAGATTCTGGCCCTCGATAAGCTTATACATGCACTTTATTGAGGTAGGCAATCTAATTAAATAAACTTTTTTTATATATGCACTGTCCGAGTGCTGTAAATTCCAAACAACTAGATTCTGAGTGTATGTCTGTTGCTTTTAAATAAATTTTAGTGCCAAAATAACATTTATGCAACCACTGAGAAATGCTTTTTCTGTGATCATAAAATAAAGTCTCATCAGCAGACCCATAATTGTCACTATGTATAATATAATTGAGGAATCATTAAAAATTGTTGTGACTTTTCCCTTACAGCTTATATGTTTCCAAGTTACCCAATATTCTGATGCTTAAGTGTAGTAGCTTATACAGAATGAACTGCTTATTTTCTAATGAAAAGTCACTTTACTTAGTAGATTGCCATTACTTTTGACTCTGAGTTATATTTTTGCCCATGTATTGATTAGAGGAGCAGGCTGAGTTATCATAGGGGCTGGCTTCTGATTGGCATCCCTTCCTTTTTATTAGTGAGTTATTAGTATTTTTTTTGTGTGTTTAACATCAGAAAGCCCTTACTCACACACAGGGTGAAGTTCTAGCTACTGTGTACACACCAAGAGGTGTTGTGGAATCATGGGTTAAGTCTTAAGAGCTCAGAGGCCTTGTGGACAGAGGTGTAGTGTAAGCACTCTTTGTATTAATGATTGCAGAGAGCTAAACAGTAAAAATTGTAGGTGCTTGGGGCTGTGAGTATACAGCCAAGTTAGACAAGTAGTCTCATCACTGATGCATCATGGACCAGCTGTCCCACTTGTTTGTTTTGACAACGAGCCAAATATTCTCATTCACAGTGTTTGTGCTTACACATGTGATTCCACACACCTTAGGTGCCCATTAATTAAGATTAAGGTCTCTCACAAGTCTTCTTAATAATTTTTTTTAAACCAAAAATATAACATATACTAATTTTCCTGATTTTCTTGGGATGTGTCACTTAACATTACCAGCTATGTTGTTTGAGGATAGCACAATATGAGTTTTGTTAAGTTGGTGATAACCAAGTTCCTGAAAGCTATATTCTATTTATATGGGATTTTTTTAAAGAAGAGGACAATAAATGAAAATGTCTCAGGAAAAGTGGCATATACAGATTTCCTCATTTATCCTAATTGTATCTCTGCCCTCTTCATATTCTCTAAAAGATTAACCATTTCCCTCCTCTCTTTGCTTCACTGTTGAAGGGTTCCCTCCCTTGAAGTTGCATGGCTTACAAGCTAAGAATGAGGACAGCAAATGGATAATGAGATAGGAGGACACAAGCAGAATGGCACGTTATTGGTCAGCATAGCAGCATCGTGACAGTTGCCATTTTTTTCCTCTACTGTAAAAAAGGATGCCTTTGAAAGATATAAGTAGTTTTGTGGATAGATTCAGGGGATTCATCCCACGGATGGATCAGCCTGATAAAACCCAGAAAGATACATCTGTGAAAATCAAAAGGTATATGGTAGAGTTTGGAGTGTTCGAATACTAAGTCTGGTTTTTCAGTACTGAATTAAAGATGATTTTTGGAGTAGGATTAGGCTGTAATGTGCTTCTAAAGTAAGGCAGCTTGTGTTTTAGGAGTGAGTGGAGAGAGAGTGGGAAGATATACCAGGAGAAGAAATAGGTAACAAAATGGGAGAGACTTGTCAATTGGATACTGATTCTTGGACCACATTTTGGAGGGCGTGAGCAGAGCAAGGTTACATTTGTCAGGGTTGGAGAGGAAGTTGTTGCAGTGATCAAGATGAGAGCTAATGTGTACCCTGCTGAGACTTGGCTACCCAGCTTTCTTAGAGAGCTTTATTCTCTGTGAAGTATGAGGAAACCACATCTTTATCTGAACAGTCTGAATGTGAAGACAAAGAAGCTGTAATGAAAGATGTTTGCATCTTTGACCTATGTGATGATGACAATAATGGTAATGTCTGCAGTAACTGAGAAAGAACTATGAAGGAAGAGGAAGAGCTTTTTTTATCCATGTTAAATTCAAATTGATGCCTAAATGTCCACAAATTGATGCTGGTGACACAGGTTGAGATTTCAGGAAACTGATTACAGAATGTACATCATATTTCACCTGTTTGGATCAAGTGCCATGAAGTATAACTGAGTTTTGTTGCACCTTTTCTCCTAAGAACATCTTTGAAGCCTATTGACAAGGTGATTTAAAAAACAAACCAAACCACCACCGCCAAAAAACACAAAAAAATCCCACACTAAGAAACAAACTAAACACTTTCTCCTGCTGCTGTCATTTCAGAAAAGGTCATCAATCTAAACTACGAATGAATTCTAAACTTTATGTATTTATCCTTCTGTAAAGGTTCTTTTCTTACTGGAGTTCCTATGAAAGGAATTCAGGCTCTGCTGTACAAAGAGGTAGAAATGGAGGAAAGATTGTACATTGTGAGTAACATAATTGAAGGTGCAGATAAAATTTGAAACTGTGTTAGGCAGAAATAACATGTATAAACTGCTTTGAGTCAACACACAGTGTCTTGTGATTGTTAATTAAGAGCAAATGCAAGATCAAAAAATAATTCATGCCTGAAAAAAAGAAGGAAATAATTACCTGAAGAAGCAAATGTAGTTCAGAAGTTGATTTTCTCATGGCCAAATGTCCTTCCACCCACCAAGATTCATTTATTTTCTCTGTATTGTGTGCCAAATTATTAATAGAGAGCTGTTGCCTTGCTGTTGAGACAAAGACATACTCTGTACAAGTGGTAGAACATTATTGTCAGATGGCACATATCAACACTTGTGGTAGAAGGAAGTACTTTTCAGATAGACCGTGTTGCAAATGAAATGGTTTGGTTGCTTGCTCTAAATCAAGTTTAAGAAGGATTCTGAAAGGAGCAGACTGCTAATGCTGCGTTGTTCCCTAGACTAGTTTGAAAGATATTCCCCTTCTGAAAAGCATCCCAGGAGGCTTCTTCACAAGGAAGTTAATAATTTCAAAAGGAAGAGGCTCTGTTTAGTTAAAGCTAAGTGTGCTGGCAGTGGCCTGTGGCTATAAGACACTTCTCCTTTTCCCCCATTTTCTCCAACAACTCTTCAACACTTGGCTTAAAGCACCATTGTGTAATGGCCCTAGCTGATGAGGTGTATTTTGCAGTTTGGGCTGTGAATGTGTGCAGTGAGTTACCAGAGCAAAACTGATGAACAGTCACTTGCTAAGCCAAGTGCAGTTGCTTGTCATCTTTTATGTGCATATGCTAAAATGATTCTTCTCCTCCCATCCCCTCCCAGGACATCTTTATCAATATATCTCATTCCTCCTTTATGAAACTTCCACTGTAATGTTCTGAGCCTTGGGCTCTGATAAATTGTGACTGTCACATTCAATTAGGACGTATACTGTGTGTCCTGCTAACGGTGGCTTTCTCCCTCCACAGGGGATATCATGTGTCTGCTGCCTAACATCATGTAACTTGTTTTACTTCAAGCCGATTAGGTCATGAGAAGCAGAAGATTACTCTCTAGTGAGCAGCGTTGCATAAAGACTCTTTTCCATGATAAATATTTCATATATAAACATTTAATACAAGCTCGGGACTTGTAAAAATTGATTTCCATTGGTAACTCAAATCACTTCAGGGCTGCAGGCTGTGAATAAAGGAAAAGCTTGACGTCTTTGTATAGTACTTAGCATGAAAGCCCTGGATTCAAGTTGGAACACCGATGCATAATCACACAAAGATTAAATAAGATCCATAATGTGATGCAAAAAGTTCAGAAACTCTCCCTGGTAAATATCCCATGAATTGTTGTGAGCAAGTAGTGCTGAAGAATGCTGCTCCCACTATCAAATTTGATAAAAAATTTATTTTCCAAGTAAGGACCTGTTACAGCCATTTGTAAGTCACAACTTTATTTTTAGACCACATTAATTGTCCTTCTCCTTGCGTATCCTAGCTCTATCCAGACAAAACTATCATGCTTTTTCTAAAAATCCTTAATTTTTGGCACTTCCAGTGGGCGGTCTTTCAGTTCCCTTTAGCCCTCAGTTGTTCAACACCATATGCTCGGCTAATTCCTAAAAAAATATGAAATTGGAGAGATAATACATTTGACTGAAACAGATGACTTGGGACTGTTTATTTCTATCAAAGAAAACATGCTGCCACCAAAAAAAATAGGCAACTTCACAGCAATAATGATCTTAAAAGTGACTGATAAATCAGGAATCAGGTTATTCTATTAACCTATTTTTTTTCCACTAAAGGATGAATAATAAAATGTCAATTTATATCTGTTAACATTTTGCTAGAAACTCTAAGAGTGTGGCTTTATTATCAGCTGATTTAGGATAAGAGTAAAAAAAATTGAAATTGATGTACTGTAATAAAATAAATTATTTCTTCATTTATAGATCTGGGTTTTAAATTCTGATACATTGCTGGTGGAGTCTTTAGGAAGTTCCTCCTCCCACAGTGCTTTTGCACTCTTTGGAGATATTTTTGTGCCTAGCTCTGGACCAGTGAGGACCTGGAGTGCTATCAAAGTCCTTTACCAGCCGTGCATTAAAAACAAGAATAAGGAGTAAGTACAGCCTTTTCTGACCTCAGGTTCTCATCTTTGACTTGTTTTGCATTTCAGGGCAGCAATAATTCTTTAGGTTTTTTGGGCAGTCCATGAACCTCAGAGATGCATCTCTTTGAAATTGCATATATTTTAAAAAAAAAATTGTTTGTTTATTTGTTGGAAGCAGATGCCAGAGAAATAGTATTGGGTTTCTTTCACAGCCAGAGGGAATCTGGGTATTAAATTTTATTAACACTCTAATATTAAAATCTTAAGAATTCTCTTGTTTCCAGGGGCACATGTAGATAACTTAGGTATATGATACAAATAGAAGTTGTCTCTGTTACACAGGAGAGTAATGTGCTTTTTCATTTATGTGTTTTTTCCCCAAGTTAACTCACTGCACTTTAGGAAATTGGTTGTTTTTCCAGCTCTGTTGGCAGAAGCTGGAACAATGGTGGTGCCATGAATCCCATGGAGGATCAGTGAGTTCTGTCTGTGTGGTCTCAGAACGTGCTGCTCTGCAGCTGTAGCTCCAGGTGATGCAATTCAGGGTTTAGGAAAAATTGAAGGGAGATGAATAGCATGGGCTGACTCCTGAACAACGTGTAAGTTTAGCCAGTTCTCCCTCTTCACCTTCAATTTTTGTGTTTTGTGTGAAAATCTGATCTCATCTGTCAGATTATTTATGGGAACAACACTATCTGCACTCCCACAGTGAAGAAGTTGGACCTCTTTGGTGCAGCTGAAAGCAAGAAGCTAGAGGTAGGTAGTTACTAGTTTAGCAATTTACAGCTGCCTGTTACAGCTTCAGTCCTGACTCTTTTTTTTCCTTAAAGTTATGCTTTGTTTTGCAAGAGAAGGAGCTGTTCACAGGACTGGAATTTGTCTGTTTAAGCCAAGTTATCTTCAATACTACAGGTTATGTCTGGCAGGTTGCAGTAAGTTGGCACCATGGTCATCTCTGTGTGCATGGGACAGTGCATCTAACTCTGCCCCTGTTAGAAGATACTTGTGCATGCAGCCTAGCAGAATAATAGGAGTAATGCTGTATCAGTATAGCATGCTCTCAGCATATAGTATATGCTCAGAAGGAAAGTCCTGTCTAGATACAATTTAGAAGTTCATTGTTATCTTATTAGCCTCTCTGGGTTTAACTTTAACTTGCTTTCAGTCCAGTGGTGGCATTATTTCAAAAAGAGGTGGGGCCCTGAGAGAAGGGGAAAGAGAAGAGTGAGGAAGGCGGCTGAGTACAGTGCCATATAAAAGGGCTTTTTTTGGGGATGTGTCCAGGTCTACTGGAGTATTCATAAAGAAAACATATTAATTCAGTAATCTTTGAATTCTGTATTATGGAAAACATATGCTGCCTAACATGTTAAAGCCTTTATCTGTTGGAGAGCAAAGATAAGAGAATATTGATTAAGCAGTGGCTCCGGTGTTTGCAGGTGGTGGAGTGTGATTTTTAGTATAATTCTCTGCTTTTGTTTCTGCCTTGTTAGAAGAGAAAGCACTGGTTTTGTTTAGGTCACACTTAAATAGTGATTTGTCTTTGTTTTTCCTTTAAACTCCTGGAAACTAGATGACGGATTTAAAGAGGTGTGGATGTATTTAAAATTTAGAAGACACTCCCTCCAGGCTCAGTCAGTACACAACTAATTTATAGTCCAAGACCTCATAAAAGTGAACAAAAATGTTATCTCACACAGAAAAACATGTGGATATGAATTTAAATATTTTCATAGAAGAAATATACACCATACAAGAATGTGTGATTTGTCATAGTGTTTATCTTGTATGTTGCCAAGTGTATCCTTTTCATTTTTCAAACCGATACAATACTGAATAGCTGAAATAAACTCTGCCATAGGGAGAGAATGCAAAAATGCCAATACTTAGAGGAAAAAAGGTCCTAGTACATATCAAACAGAGAATCATAGATTCATGGAATCATTTTAGTTGGGAAAGAACTTTAAGATCATCAAGTACAACCCCCACACTAACACTGGCAGGTACACCACTAAACTATGTCCCTAAACATCTCATCTACTTATCTTTTAAATACCTCTAGGGGTGGTGACTCCACCACCTCCATGGGAACCCTGCTCGCTCACGTGATTGACAACCATTTTGGTAAAGAAGTTTTTCCTTATATCCAACCTAAATCTCCTCTGGCGCAACTCAAGGCTGTTTCCTTTTGTCCTATCACCTGTTACTTGGGAGAAGAGACTGGCACCCACCTGTCTACAACCTCCTTTCAGGTAGTTGCAGAGAGTGTGAGGAAGTCTCCCCTCAGCCTCCTTTTCTCCAGGCTAAACAACCCCAGTTCCCTGAGCTATTTCTTGTAAGGCAAGTTCTGTAGGCCATTCATGAATAATGTTACTCATGCAAGAGAAAAAGTTACCTTTATTAATGTAGTAGCTTCAAAAGTTGGCATTGAAAAACCTCTGTTATCTAATGATATTTAGTGATCCAAAATACTTTTTAAAGTATTATCTTTCTTAGAGTGGGACACACTGCAAGAACCACTTAGCTGCTCTAAAATGAAGGATACTTCATTTACCACTAAGTCTTACACAACTGTAACTTACAGTTTTGCTTATCAAGTTTCAATTCTTTATCACTGAGAAGATTTAATTACCTTAACAAACATTCAGTTACTTTGACATGTTATTGAGATAAAAGTCAGATCTACTTAGTCACTTATCTCACATTCAAGCAATGCTTTTCCTGAATGGAATTCTCAGCAGCAGAATTTTGCAGTGAGATTATATTCAGTTCTTTGTTTCCTCAGACAGACAGACTTAGAATCATAGAATCATAAGGGTTGGAAGGGACCTCGAAAGATCATCTAGTCCAACCCCCCTGCCAGAGCAGGACCACCTAGTGTACATCACACAGGAAGGCGTCCAGGCGGGTTTTGAATGACTCCAGTGAAGGAGACTCCACAACCTCTCTGGGCAGCCTGTTTACAAATCACCTGTTTCTGAAGATTACTTTGTATTTATCTTTGGGATTTTGCAGTGTGCAGAAGTCACAACTGAAGTTTTAATTCTTCTCTGACAGAGAGAGAATGTTGCTGAGAACATGATTACCCCTTCTGTGACATCTTCCTTTTTATCAACAACATGCTAATTCCTGTGCAGTTTGTTGATCTGTGTTGACCGTCAGATCCTTTCCAGTAGATTGCAGTCTAACGAGCAGCCTTCTTGTCTGGTTTTGTGCCGTTGTCTTTTCTTAAATTACATCCCAAATTTGTTCAGAATCTTTTTCCCTGTTGGCCATGGCCATTTTGATTTCCAAACTGTAGTGTGGCCCTTCCCTGCTTCATGTCATCTGTGAACAAAAGCAGCATATCTTTTGTGCCAGCCTCTGGTAGAGCGACCAAGATGTGGAATATGACCAAAGTAAGAGCACATCATGTGGAACCTCTCTCCATATGCCTCTGTTTTGGTAATGAATCATTAGCAGTTGTCCTCTGGGCAGGCTGCATTGCCTAAGGATGTTCAGTAGCTTTTCAGGCACTGTGAAGTTAAGACATATTAAGGTATATGCAGCCATACTATTTGGAGTATAGCTCTTGGCATGGCTCCTTGCAGAACCCTGTTCCTCTGATCTTCCCGAGGGCAGCCTTTAACTGTGGTATTGATTTGTGTCTAACTCCTTCAGCTGTTAAACAGGGTTAGAAACACTTAATTATCTGTTTGTTAAGTGTGATAGCACGAGTTCTGGGTGGGTCTGTCTACAGTAAGGCTTCCAGCCCTTGCAGGAGCTTTATGAGCAATCCTTCTATAACAAATTTGTTAAAATTATGTGCTGTCATTTCTTCTTGTCACCCATGAAAAAAAGTGTGTTAGGAGTGTAGCTGAGTCCCATTAGAGAAGGATGCCTTGTGTGTTTTCTGCTCCATTCTTAGATATTTATGGATGATATGTATGTGGTAGTGTTGGTTCCCTCCATTTCCAGCAAGGCTCCTTTTCTCCACCTACAAATCTGCTGTGCAGACAGAAGAGGTCTTCCTTTCAAGTAACTGTTGTATCCAAACAACCTTGACTGCTGGGAGTGATAATGGTAAATACTGCTGAAGTGAGAATCTTGTAAAAATGTATGAAGAAAATTGAAAATATGGTTACATGGCAATTTGACCATAACTTGATCTCAGAAACTGTATGTGAGGGTACAGTTAGAGGCAAATTACACTTTTCCGTTTATAGCAGTGTGCTAGGCAAAGCTTTTGACAGAAAGTCATTGATAGCTTTTTATTTCTCATGTGCATCTCAAGTCCCTCTGAACGGTTTACAGGTTTTGCAGAAGCCCTCTCCTATGTAAGAATTTGCTGCTTATCATTTCAGAGCTGAAAAATGACTTCCAGAAACTGTTGATTTTATTAGCTTTAGGGGGACAGAATAAGCTAGAAAATTGAGTTTGTGGCTGAAAACGTGGAGTTTTTGAGTCCCAGTGCTTTTATTACAGTGCATGTATCGTGAGATGTTGATGAAGCTGTTACTGATGTATTCCAGAATGTTGTTTATTTGTCCCAAGAATGGCTTTTGTTCTGTACATGACTGGAGTATAAAAGCACTAAACTGTGTCCTATTTCACTGACTTTTGTGTGTCTGAAATAGAATGCTTTTCCTACTGTTTCAGTGACTCTTGCCTGTAGAAAACGCATGGGAGCACAGACCAAGAGTCTGACTTGAGTTTGACACACTGAGGAGTGACCAATGTTTCACTGTTCAGTGCTCCCTTTAAGGTGATTTCTGTAGTGTGATAAACTTCTAGTGCTGTATCTGGAATGATTAAATGAGTGGGTGTGACCATAAATGGAGCATGTAGGATGTCTTTTGTTTCAGATAACAAAAAATACAATTCAGGCCTGTATATTTTTTTTCTGTATTATTCTTCTTTAAAAGATGTAAGAAGTGCTATGCTGGGCCACAGCAGTGTATCAGCTAGCCCAGTGTCCTTCCTCTGATATTCAGAGGTGTTCTTTAGAGTAGCATGTGAGCCTCAGCACTTCCT